TTTCATAATTTTCGAATCGCTGGTTGTGGTACAACATGATTGTCTTTGATTCCGGATAATTTTGTAACACACTGTATATCCGACGCTGCGTGCCGATCGGTGGACATGACATCAGGCCACAAATTTTATTTTAGCGAATTATGTCCAGGAAACAAATAATGGAAAAAAAAGAAATTAATTAAAGGTTTACGGTTTGTATCGTATTAAATTACCGCCTTTAGGAAACAGAATTAATGATTATTTAAATTTTCTAACCATTCCATTGGACAGTATGTTGCTGCGTTTTGGGTAATCTATTGCTTTTATTTTAACCATTTTCTAACCCTAACCCATTAATAACCTTTTTAAGCTAAGCGAATAACACTATGTTATGTGATCGTACAATACAATTTACAAATAATAATTACGTAAGTAGTTTATAATTGATATGTCATTTTCATTCAAGCTCGAGAACTTTAATTGTTCCTTGACTATTGGCAGCCAACAGGGTATTTGTATTTTTCTTCCAACACACAGAAGAAACAAAGAGTGACGGATCATGATCTCACCCTAAAAGAAAAAGAGAACAAACAAATGCATCAGATATGGAGAACGGTATGCGATACGCGATTTGAAATGGGGATTCGCATCCACATATAGAATACCACAGTTTATACTTACAGTCACCATATCGATACTTCCAAAGTTGAATTTAATCACTGGCTGTGACAAGCTCTTGTAATACGTATAGACAGCATTATCTTCACTACCGCACGAAATCCAATCGGCAGACGTAGTCAGACCCACAAAGTTTTTCTCGTTAGTATGGCCAGTATAAGTGCGAATGCACGCTTGTTTGTTAGCATCCCAGAGTCGGAGACTACTATCCGTCGAACTGTTGGGAGAAAAAAAACATGAACGTGAGTAATTCAGCTTGAAAGGCGATATCTAGAGTATGAATTCGGCACAGTGATGAAACGTACGCTGATACGAATTGAGTCGAGTTCATGAATTTCACGTAGGAAACGGCCTTTCTATGCCCTCTATAGATAAATACGGATCTCTTGGTTGTCGAAGATCGTGATAATGGATGTGATGATCTATAATCGAATGAATGGGATGAACCGCTCGTTAATTTTTCATATTCAACGGTAATACGTCATTCTCATGCTCTCTCTCACCTGCACTTCCAAATGCCATACAATGGCTTACATCTGGATTGATGTTTGCCTTTTTCTCTATCGTACATATCGAATTATTTTGATTTGTGGACCAAAGCTTGACTAGAAGAAAAAATATAGTGCGTTTAGTATTGCCATTGCGAAGCGCTGGAATTTGGAATGAATATACATAATACAGTAATCTTTACCTTTTGTATCATCACTTCCACTG